TATATATATATGTATATGTATATATATATATATGTATATGTATACATATATATATATATATATATATGTATATATATATGTATATGTATATATATATATATGTATATGTATACATATATATATATATATATATATGTATATATATATGTATATGTATACATATATATATATATGTATATGTATATATATATATTATTTATGTATAGTTTAATTTGATAATTTTAATAATCAGTATTCTTTTTAATTTACTAGAAACGTCAAAATAAATTCTCACCCTGTACTGAAGCCAGTTTCAGAGTCTCACCGCCACCAGCTGGTGAGGCTCGTGACGTCAATTTGAACCCTGCCCACTGGAACCAGTACTGAAAGCATAATGGAAACACAACATGTACCGTACTGAGTTGAGTAGGGCCGTGCTGTACTGGTACTAAAGGTACTAATGGAAAAGGGGCATAAGTGTGCACACCTGTAAACTAATATTTGAAGCACTTTCTGATTTATTTGTATCCTGGTAGGCATTGCATCAATTAAATGCGAAGGGGACGTGTATCCTGCTCACATTTAAAAAATATTCACTTGGAAGACAAACCCCCCCCCACCCCCCCACTCCGGGGCCCACATTTACCATGAAATAATAGGTCACCCAGCGCTGTTTCTATTTCTTCGTGAACAAATCCATTCCACTTGATTAATACACCTCATGCAGTGTTATCCCAAGGTCACTTGGCTTGGCAGGGTGCTCATCTCTTCTGAGGTTTTTGTCAACGGGAGGAGGAGGAGACACCTCTTTTGCGTGCTAACTTAGCGTTACTTTAGTGCCGGTAGTTGATGACCAGGGGGTGGGGGGTTTAGGATGCGTGAGAGAAGCGGAGCGTGCTCTATTCACACAAGGAGAGCTGTTGGTCAGGCTACTTTAAAATAGTTAAAAAATTAAGTGTTTACTTATGTAGGTAAACATGGATGTTTAACAACCTGAACACCAGAATGCAGGAAATGGCATCTAGTTTATTCAGAATTTCCTGGAGGACTGTGGACACCCAGACCACCCCTACCAATGTGCCCCCCGCCCCCCCCCCCACACACACACACACACACACATTACAAATGCTTCAGGCACCAATATGTAGTCAAGTCTTGCTGGGAAACAGCTGCCATCAAATAGAACCACTTTGAACAACCTGGAATAAAGTTCAGCAGACCTGGCACATTACTCATTTTCATCACACAGTAAAATCCACTGTTCACAGAGAGCTCCTTTTCATCTAGAACTGAGATTTTAGTCAAAGTGGAAGAAATATTGAAAAGTTCCTAACACCTGTTTATTTTGGCTTAAAAACTTAATGTGTTTGCTAGAAAGCCAACAACGAGGAGAAATATTTTTTTCCAAATGGCAAAATACAAGCCAACAAATTCTTATAGTCTACATCTATATCTACAAAATAATGGCTTCACCAGAAGAAAACGAATGTTTCTGAATGTCCAAACCTGAATCTGCGCCTAAATTAGATTTTGTACAGTGAGATCAGATGTGGCCTTCTGATAGACGACTTCTTACGAAGTCTGAAAGCTGTCATTAAATCAGAAGGTGCTTCAACAAAGTGTCAGTCTAAGGGTATTCAACCAGCTTTTAGCATATTTTGATTTTTCATATTTTCTCACAACATATTCTATTTTTAGTAAGGTTTTACATAATGTATTGTATGTCTAAATAAAGGTGGAAAAAGCTTTTAAATGATTTTTGATGGTCTCTCTTTACATCACAGGAAACTGGCATTTTAACACAAGTGTTTAGACTTTATTTCCTCTGTATACTTAAATTAAAATTAAAAAATTAAATCTAGTGGAGCTTTTATTATTCTATAAAACAGTAAATGAAGTCATTGACAGAAAATGATGAATACAACAATGGTGTTTTAGGTGTACAGCTGGTATTAAGTCGAGTCCGACTGATATGGAAATTTTGGCTATCACTGATAATGTTAATGGGAGGCCCGGGCTAGCTCCAATAACCAATATAATGGCTGGAAATTTTTAAGCTTTGTCCACTCATAAAAATCTAATAAAACAGCTACTTTTAAACCTGTTTTAATGTTTGTTACAAAGATAAGAATGCGTTAATATTTTACCTTTTTCAAGTACTTTTATCAAAAGTACAGTTCTTACATACAAGCTGCAAAAGAACATAAATAATTTTTACTTCCCCAAGAACATCCTTCGTGAAGTAGTCCCACACCATACTACAACGAGCTTGACATATGTAAAAATAAAATAAGACTATTATATGCATATTAAAAATCACACATAGTCTGATCAAACCCTGTATATTGTATTCACACAACACTGATGTTTCGGGGTGACCGCATGATTTGTGTCATACTAGGTAGGAGATGTCTGTGCTTTGGAAGGGCGAGTGGAGCGGGGCTTGTTTATTTAGCGCAGCTGTTAGCAACCATGAAGCTAAGCTAATCAGATCCACGTTATATAACTAGTCCCACAGTAGGTTTACAAGCGGTGCACTGGTCATAAAAACAGTCTTCCTAATGTGCGTTCACATTTTCTATCCTCCACTATTCATCATAAAGTTATCAAGTGTGTTACCTAAATATAAATTAAACAAAGAAACACCCTTCCTTGTTCATTGTTTAAACAGTCACATATGGTGAAGGTCTAATTAGTACTGACCTCAGCAGCACAGTTTATTTCTTTTTCTTTGCAGAGAAGTAAAGATTTCAGACAAACAATGCATTTCAGTTAGGACGACAAAGATAATGTTACTAACACGGATATATATTTACCTCTACGTTAGATTTACTGTTATGGATAAAGTTTTACAAGGCAATAGCCTATGCTAGGTTATCTAAACGTTAGCTTGCTAACTTGGGAGGCACATAGCTAACGATAAGCGGGTTGGAGGACTGAAGATAATTTTTTATTGTTGATTTGTTTTACAGATTAGTTCAAATAAACTTATCATGCTCTGTTCAGCAAAATACACAGTATTGCTCCCTGCTTCGTCTGTACTGAAAGTGAAACTTAAGGGAACGGCCATGACTTGAAAGTTGTCTTCATATGCCCTCTGCTGGATACATTGTATAATTACGGCTGCCTAACAGCATTTTAGGGGTGAAAATTATAAGTGTTTATATCGGTGAGAAATGAGACAGTTATCACCGACACGATGGGTCCCCAAAATGACTATATCAGTCCAAAATATCAGCTCTACCAATTTATCGGTTGGGCTCTAGTATTAAGTTTTCTTCTTGAATTTTCTAGTAAACAGTTTGTTTTTCATGTCCAATAACTGTTAACTGACAGAAATATGGTGGCTCTCTGTGCATGATTTGTTATTATGAAGACAAGTCAAACTGAGATTATTTGTTGTGTATTTCAGTTCCTGAGGTACCTCCAGTTGCCAGCAGGGGGCCCTACTCATTTCCTCAACCAGGACAGCTCTTCTCAGTTCAGCCCAAGGTGGAGCCCCCCTCCTCCACTGCCACAGCAACGACCACCCAAACGTGGGAGATCATGGAGAGTCTGAAGCTGGGCCCTCAGCCCAAAGCCAACCCAGTGCCCACCTTTCAGATAAACCCAACACCCAGCTCCTCCTCCACCATCAAACCTTCCACAGTCCACCAGAACTACTCCACCGTCAACGTGTTAGACCTTCACGAATTCTTCCCCAACATCGCTCAGGAGGCTGTAGCTAATCAGGTAGCCCCCCCGCAGACCAACAGCCCCTTCTCCATTCAGGAGGCTCAGTTCCGGGCTGACCCTGATGAGGACCTCCCAGATTTTCCCAGCTTTTCTGACGCCCACGTACCTGGCCCCCTGGACAGCCTAAACATGGAAGACTTGGAGGACATTCTGAACTCCCGCCTGATGGGCGAGGGTGGAAACACCTCAGTGTTGGCATCATGCCAGCAAGCGTCTGTCCCCAAGTCCACCGCTGTTGCTCAGAACGGTGCAGTGTCCCAAAACACACCTGAGGCTGCCGCTACCGCCGGAACCACCTACATGAATTACCCAAACAGCATCGCTAACTTGCTCCGGAACGAAGACATGATGGTCCTGAGTGCCGGCAGCGCCACCACCAACCACCACCAGTCCGCGGTGCTCGACGACCTCGATGAGCTGATGTCCGCTGACGAGGACCGTCTCATGTCCATCTTTAACAGTGGGAGTCAAGCTGGGTTTGTGTCGGGACACCCAACCTAAAGATTGTCTTTATTTTTACAAATCATTTATGTCATCTGCCCTCTTAAAGACTGAGTTTTTATTAATGCAGAAAAAAGAGGGACACAAAAGGCTGGAGGAGACGAGAAGTAGCAAAACTTTTCACCGTGGACAAACATTAAAGCAAAACTGAACTGTCCTGTTTCATGTCAGCCACTAAATGTAAAGACTCTCCCACAGAAGCTCAGCATGTTGTCATTTTAAACCAGATGTCCCAGTCCTCTCTCATTGTTGGGAACTATGATATCCCAGTTTAAGGGCGCAGTCATGTATTTGTGGAACCAGTGTCTGTGCACTAGTGGAGCTTTAAGTCCTGCCTGCTTCCCCACAAACAATTATAGTTTACAGTAGTCCCTCGTTTATCGCAGCGGTTACGCTCTGGACCACTACCCTGCAATAAGTGAAAATACGCAAAGTATAAACATTATATTTATTTTAGTATTTTTATATATTTTAAGGCTTTATAAACTCTTCCCACACTCTTGACAATGTTCTAAACTTAAACCTACATCATTTTAACAACATACATATGTACTGTGTAGTAGCTACGTACTGAAAACTAAACCGCGCAGTGGTCCCAATCGAGTCCAAATCTGGATGAAAAAGTTCCGGTGAGCGCCGGAGAAAACACCGGACCTCCAAGCAATGCCTCCCCACCAGAGACTTCCTGGGCCAACAAGCAGCACTCAGACTGACCGATGAGGCTGGAGGTCAGGTTCTGGTCCAATTCCCGGTCGGTTCCATACGGCTCTCTGCATCCACCGAGCGCTGAAGTCATTATGAATAAGGACCAAACTTTTTTGGATTGGATCAAAACTTTCCCTCCATTTCAGCAGAAAGCAACGGCCAAAAGCACCGTTGGCTTATGGGTAACGTAGTCCTTTTGACAGGCGACACAGTGTAGGCCTATTGAAAGAAAACTACAAAATGACGATGCCTGTCCGAAGTATGTTTTTCTTCAACTTTTTACTGTATCCCATACTGTCCCAATCATGTGAGTAATATAAAAGTTGACAGTCGTGTACAATCTTACGTTGAAAACCCGCGCAAGAGCGAGTCCGCTAAAGTCAAACCGTGAAGTAGCGAGGGATTACTGTATAGCTTTTTTTTTTAGGAATGAAATGGCTCATTCCAGCTAAACTTGTTAGAAAAATTGAATATTTGATTATAGAGCAACAAGATAAGAATTAACAAGTTAACACCTGCTAAAGAAAAAATATCTGAGTGTATCGTTATCCTGTTTGTGTACCTGAAGGGTTCTTGTTCTGGAACCAGCCTACAGGGAAGGCTGGTCCTGCTCCAGCTTCAGGGTGCGAGTCAGAGGTTTATCAGTATAGTTTAACGTTTTTATGCTGACATTGAACAATTTTGGAAGCGGTCTTCAGTTTAAAGCTGCCTTTAATGTTAAATAAGTGTAATCAGGTGAGTCTTTACAATCCATCGTCGCAGTTAAATGTTTGGATTCAGCGTTCTCTGGAGTTATTGTCTGAACATGCAAATGAAGGTCTACTTGTAAATAACTTTCAAACAAGCAACAAGTTACTGAGCGGTGGGATCTTTCGTTTCAAATTTACTTTATAATGGCTGAAGTTTAGCGGTCAGCTCCTCTGTCGTCTTGCTTTCGTTTTTTATCAAAGTGTGTTCTGCCCGTTTTCCTCAACTATGGTGGATATTTGGAATAATTGTGCCATTTATTGATGTAATTAATGACTGTTCAAATCCAAAAACACTTCCATTGACAATAAAAAGCAACATTTAAAGACAGGTCTTCAAAAGTAGATTTTATTTGGTAATGCTATGATGTCAGTGTAAACGAAAATTAAAGCTCAAAGAGCTATATTTTAATTCATAAGGGGCAAATTATCTCATAAATTCATGCACAAACATCAAAGATTTGAGTCGCTCTCACTAATAAATTATTTTGAATATAGTGTGATGGCATTTCAGGTCACCTGTTAAACTTAGAAAATATGACGGCATCAAAATGATAATTTTCAAAAATGGAAGAACATGAGTTTGAAGTTTAGTCACATCTTTACAACAGCCTTCTTCTAAAACGCCTCCAGTTTATGTCACTTCAAGGTTGGTGATTTTGTTGACAATGTGGGAGCGCCGGGGCACACACTCCAGGTCAAACTTGCTCTCGTAAATGGTAGGGCAAAGCTTCCAGCGATTGTTTCTGTAGATCCCCAGGTATGTGTAAACATCTGGCTTGTAGGAGAGGGGGCATTTCACCCCTGTGGCCCGAATGACAGAGTCCATCCGTATAACCTCGCTCTCGTCCGTGAAGTTCTGGTTGTAGGAGCATATGACCTGCTTGCCTTCGGACTTGGGATCAAAGGGGCTCACTTTAACACTGGAGATCTTGCCCTCCAGGGTTGCTCGGGCCACACACTCCCATGCGTGGTCCAACTTGAAGCCAGAGTCCAGGTGCATCAGCCATTTACCCGAGAGCACGTTGTGGTTCAGAGCCAGCTCCTTCACCGTCTGGAAGGTGACGGAGCGGCCACTGGACAAAAGTTTCTCCCAGCACTCCTGAAGGCCCATAACGTCCCCACTGCCCGGGCAGTGGCCAGGGCCCAACACTGCAATCCAGCCCACCGGGCTCACACCACCTTCCTCATCGCCAAACCTGGACACCTGTGAGGGTCTGTTAGTCTCCAGCCAGTCGTCAAACTCAGACCTGGGAGTTCTCCTGGAGTCAAAAACTATCCAGGGATCCATATCTGCAGCCATAGCCTCGGCTGCGTAGGTTTCTGCAGAACAGAGGGTGTCCACCTTGCCATCTGCAGGGCCTTCTTCTTCTTCCATAATGTTGTCAGTGGGAGAATGAACCAATTCTGGCTCGAGCTCTGTTGAGAGGAAACAACTGTCAATTACAGATGGGTTTTAGCACTTAGCATTTTTATTTATTTATAGCACCCTGACATATTCATAAGGAGACAGATTCACTTTGGCTAACTTGATAATACTTACACAGGTATGGCAACTCTCTAAATCACTGATTCGTTTATAAAATTGGACCATATTATCCTCATATCACCCGAGGTACCTATATGATGGAGCTAGCCGGCTAGCTAGCTACAATACGAGCTCGACTTCTTTACAAACTCACAGAAAAAAAAAACTTTATGGTCGACTGTTGACATCATCTGATGTTTCATCAAACACAGTTTACTCAATGACAACCACAAATTGTAATTGTTACACAGTAACATCTGGTTCAAGCTACATGTACCTGCAGGAATGTTGTTTTCTCCAGTTTCCGGTCTGATGCAGCGACGGTGTAACCAAAATATGGTTCCCCGGCTCAAAGGAAAAAAAAAAAAAAACATCTTAAACTGCTATATATAACCACTGAAAATTAAATTAATTTTAATGTGTTAATGGTTATTTTGTCCTGTAATAATATTTTCCAAAAAATGTGCACATTTCTTTCTAAATGTTCTAGTTAAATATAAAGTTTATAATAAAAGTTGTATTTTTACCAAATACAAAAGTGTCACATTGTCAAGTTTGTGCTGCTGTTGTAAAAATATGACAAAACGACGCGTGTGTGTTGAAGCCTGACGGTGCCAGTGGACCGCGCGGAACCGAACTTGCCTGCGGAGCAACAAGGGAACACTGACGTGCTAACAAGTTAGCCGGACAGCTAACGCTAGCTGGTATATATGTGGTGGAAGTGACTTATATATGGTAAATTTATAATTTGCAACATTTTGTTTTTTTATTTTTATTTTACTTTAGCCACACAGGTTATTTAATTATGCCCAGCAAAAAGAAGAAATACAACGCTAGATTTCCTCCGGTAAGTTAAAACTTTCATTTGAACCGGCGTTGAGACGAGCTAACCGTAATGGGAAGCTAACTACAGTAGCTAGTTTCAGTATGATTCTGGCTCTTTTATCGTCTTGAAAGTAAATAAAGTCAGCAAGCAAGTTAATTATATTAAAACTGCATGACTGACAGATTGTGGGCTTCATTAAACCAGTTAACAAAGTTACTTTACACGTATTTCTTCCGGAAAATACACTTCATTTATCCGACTTGAGTTAGTTAGCATGTGTTAATTTTAGCATCAGACAAACTGGAATCTGTAAATAAAACTACACGAACTACTTCTATCATCTGTAACTGCACAGAGAGCATTTAGTTTTTATTTTAAAGTGTACGAATAAAATATTACGTGATCAGACAAAGAGATCTGTAGGATTCAGCACCAGGTTGTTTCTGGATTTGAATCCAGATGTATTTTCAAATTGTTTGATTAATGTTAAAATACTTTGAGTCGCTACATGACACAGGTTCAATAACACCTCTTCTCTCTGCAGGCAAGAATTAAGAAGATTATGCAGACAGATGAAGAAATAGGAAAAGTGGCTGCCGCAGTTCCTGTTATTATTTGTATCCTTTACTCAGTATTTGTTCAGTACTCTGACAGCCTTTTGAGTTTTAGTACTTCCAACACTGACTCGTCTTGTAGAAAAACAAACCTCTGCTACACTAAACCATCAGGCAGCTTGTTGAAAATGGACCGACTGGCAGTTGTGCACAGTAGTGTTTGAGTATCAAACTTTTGATTTTTATGTAAAGATTGTGGTGGATTGTCTGAAATAACTGTGGGCTCAAGAGTTAAACAGGTCAGCTGTCATTGTGGCAGTTTTAATAAAAAGGAAATGAGGAATAACAGAAATAAGGAAATAAATGCAAGCAGGTCAGAGGTTAAAAGGACAGGCCAGCAGGTTCAGCAGAGCTTGGGACATATGCAGAAGTTGTAGCTCAGATTCACACAAACGGGACATATATTTGCTAAGGTTTGCATGATTGAAGGAAACAACATAAAAACATCTGATTCAGTAACCACAACATTGGAGCCCTCATCAGCCACGACTTTAGATTACTCAGATTTAAAATCAGCCAAAACCTGTAGCAGCAGGTCAGAAGTGTGAAAATTATAGTTTATTGGCACACAAATCCAAAATCAGGTGCGTCTCGTAGCAGAGTATTATTTTTTATTAATTTTAATATTTTATAGTTTGGTATTAAATGATCAAAAGGACATTTCATACCTTCCTTATTTAAAAACCTGCTACATATCAAACCATAATATATTCTTTAAAATATTAACATAAAACAAGATGCACCAATTTTGGGGTTGTGGGCTGATAGCAACTGTCTTACCTGCTGCTACAGGTTTTGGTTGATTCAGACTTGTCTCAAAGAACTATAATTAACAGAATGCTTTTTTTAATTTGTGCTAAAAAAAAATAAAAAGCCATTCTGTTGCTTCAATTGTTGCGATCCCTCTACAGCATAGTTGATCGTTTAGACATATCAAAGTTCATGCTCAATAATCCAGGTAAAAAAATCCAACACAGTTAAGTCAGGTCCTCTGGACAGTTTTTTTTTTTTAATGTTTCATGCTTCCTCCAAAGTTTAGATATAGTTTATTCTAGGTTAGCCTGCAGAGCGACAGAAACATTCACCCAACACTGCAGCTCATCACACTACTAATGATCATTTAGCTGCAGAGACAACAGATTTTCCTGGTAAAATAGCTGTTAAAGTGAAAAATAAAATAATCAAGAACAAAGTGCTTTTGTAAATAAATATTGAAAAGAGTTGTAATTTTTCAGCTTCACGGCTGTAACTTTAATTTTTATTTCTGATTAAATTTAAAATTGGACTGCTCAAATGTCAATTACGGTGTACAGTAAAAAAAAAAAAAAATCTCTGTCACTGAAAATCTCTAACTCGGGTGGTCGTTCATTAAAGATACTAAAAGCAGAAAAGTGTGTCAGAAAGAGTAGAAGTCCTGCACTGCATGCTGGGAAAACAAGATAATCATATTTTAGTAAATACATTTAAAAAAAGCTGATCAGTGTAAATGTTTAATGTCTCTCTTAATTTATATATATATGTATATATATATATATATATATATATATATATATATATATATATATATATGTGTGTATATATATATATATATACATATATATACAGATAGATAAAGATAAATGAATAGATGGATAGATAAATAATGGATGGATGGATGGATGGATAGATGGATGGATGGATGGATGGATGGATGGATAGAATGCACACAGGGAGATTCTGCAGGATATAAACAGACACTGATGTTTGAGCAGCAGACCTGCTGTCGTCTCTTTTCCTTCACCGATGCCTCAGCGAGAGCTCTCGAGCTTTTCTTGGAGTCGTTGCTTACAAAAGCTTGTCAGGTCACCCAGGCGAGGAACGCGAAGACAATGACAACATCACATCTGTAAGTTTGTGTTGTGAAGAGTGTCTTCTCTGTTTGAGGGGACATTTTAATGAGAAAGAGGCTGCTCTTGTGTGTCTATTTATATTTATAGTGCTTTCTTACAGCTCATTGAAATGAAGGATTGCTCAGTCGATTTATCTATAATGATCAATGTTCTGCTTAAACTCATTTGTGTCAACAATATTGATAAATGAGTAGAGAGCATCTTCATGGCAGGCCTAAAAAAATTCAACTGTTATCAGTCTCCTAATGAAATTTACAAAACTATACAAGATTCATTGTTTTAGAAGCATGTTTAGTTATTAAGAAAGTTTAATATGTGACTCATGAGTGTTCTTATAGATTGTTTTATTCCCTGAACTCCCAGTTGGTTTCATGTTCTGCTCAGAGCGTCGTGAAGCCAGTTTGAGAACTGGTCGTCTTTGTTTTGCAGAAAGCACTGCATTGAGCTGGAGCAACAGTTTGACTTCCTAAAAGACTTGGTGGCCACAGTGCCGGACATGCAAGGCGACGGGGAAGAGAACCACGCCGAGGGGGGAGGCGAAAAAGTCCCGCGCAGGTATTTCCCACACACCTGTTGTCAAACAGCAGCGAGGCTCTGAGGAGTAAAGACGAGCGTCAGGGGTTGAACTAGCAGAATACACAGGATAATACTACGGTGGCCTTAAGGTGTAAATGAACAACATTTGACAAAACAGAATTACATTAAGCCAAAGCAGAAGTGGCCGGAATCACATTAGATCAATACACATCTCTCATGGGGGGTGGGTCCTTGTGACTCCATGAGACTACCTGTATAAATACAGATAAAATAAATAAATCTGACCAATGAAATTACCAAACTGGTCACAGTGGACCAATGGAACTTGGTCCCCCCCACTGTTCTCTCTTTCCCTCCTTGTTGTGCCCCCCTCCCTGGGGGCACAATACGTATTTAACTAAAAGTTAAAAAAACCTTTCTGTGTAAATATTTGGACACCCGCAGCTTATAGATAAGTGCAGCCTGTATATGTAGAAAAACTTTTTTCGTTTTAAATTTAGTGGGCGCGACTTATATTCAGGTGCGTTCAATAGTCCGGAAATTACGGTATTTATTTTATGTTCACTTCAAAGGTGAGCTGTGAGAAGTCCTAGTAGCGCATAATATCACTGTCTCAGAGTTTCTCAGTTTTAAAACTGCCCATCAGAGTATAACTGGGAATAATCTAGACCTCATCAGTATTAAAATGAAGTAAATACATCTACAAATTTAAAACAAGCTAAAAGTTCAGGAAAGAGAATGTAGGCGCAGCTTCATTTCTTCTATATGAATTAGCAGCCAGGTTTCAAAAAACAAAGCACAACATATGAGGACAAACCTGTCACCCTGTCAGCAGGGTGGTGGAGGGCTCATGATTTGGGCTCTGAGACACGTCCAATAAGTTTCATTCCACTTCACGATTGTGTCCCACTTGTTGTTGATTCTTCACAAAAATTTTAAAGTTTATATCTTTATGTTTGAAGCCTGAAATGTGGCAAAAGGTTGAAAAGTTCAAGGGGGCCGAATACTTTCACAAGGCACATGTATACTCAGGAGTGACGTTTAGCCCAGAAAATATGGTAATATGTGTTAGTTAATTCTTTGAATAACTTTCGTTTGAAATAAGCAACTTGACTGTTGAGCTAACAGCTAGTCTGAGCAGGGCCCAGACCGACGTGGACAGGAGAAAATGAAACCCAAGGAGAGTAAAGCTCTCAGCCAAGATCAGTCAGACATTTAAAAAACTACACATTGGAGGAAATGTTATTGTTTTTCAGAGGACGGAAACCGGGGTCTGGTCGCAAGAACGGAGGGACCGGCTCCAAAGGCAAAGACAAGAAGCTGTCTGAAACGGAGTCGGACCAGGAGGTGGGAGATGATTTGCACCGTGAGTTGTCTGCAGTCATGCTGCACTGATGTTTGTTTGGGCTCACTCTTGGATTCTTTTGTCGGAGACAGGATGACTCTGAAGACAGCGAGACAGACCGAGACGAAGAGGACGGTTCTCAATCGAGCACAAATCGTCAGTCTGCAGCCACGTTCCACAGGTGAGACAGAGCAGTGAGGAGACATTACACCGGCTGTCTGCTTCAGATATCGGCTCAACTTGACCTGACTGACTAACATGAGTCTTGTTAGACACACCTGATTTGTTTTGTTTAGGACACACTTGATTAGACACAGGGTCACGTCAGAATTTGCACTGATCACATTAGAAACACTAAACATTCAGGTTATTGTTCCACTATTTATTATTTATTCAAAGTAGAAACCATACGTTCTGAACGCTTCATTTTACTGAGCCATGTGCCAACTGTCTTGGTTGCATTTTAGACACTCGTGTGCATATTCACAAGACAAAAGATAATTCCAGCATAAACATCTTCATCGTTTTGTGATGAAGCCTTTTAGAAACTGGCATCATCAGACCCTGGTTTTGTTTCAAGGCTTGGAGACCCAACTTGGTCTTACAGGAGAATAAATTAGTGACAAACAGGTACTTAAGGTGTTTTAAAGCTAATTACAAGGTACTTACAGGGTAAACACAAGATACTTATAGGGTACTTTGTGGGTACATATAATAAGG